GCCCAGCCCTGAGTCTGGTTTTCTTGTAGGATTTTTATTTTGCTGAGTGATGTAGCCAGTGGGAGGCCAGAGCTGAATTAGTCTTGATCCTGGATGGGAAACTGAGTACTGCCCTGGGGGAGCTTCCTTTTTCACTCCTCTTCCTCTCAGGGATTAGTCTCCATTCAAGTGTGGAATATGGAAAGACAATCCATTAGAATAAGTGCTAGATTTTTAGCCTGCCTCTGGTATCTTGATCCAGCTCTGTCTGTGAGACCTTAATTAGAAATCTCAGGAGCCCCAGCTCACTAACCCCAGCTCATGTGTTCTGCAAATCACTACCTCCCTGTGTCCTCTGGGGCTGCTCCTCTAATCAGAACCTTGGAGAGGCTGGCTGGGAGGGGCTCCCTTTCTTCTCCTTAGCCAGGCAGACATTGGTAGATAGGATTTAGCTACTTGTAACAGCCAGTTACTAGACTAGCTGAACTTACTTGATTTGTTTCTCTATCTCAGAGTATTTCCAAAAAAATCTTATAGTAGTTACTTATACATGTGCAGATGATCAGGGTTCATGCCTTTCACCAAGCACTTCTGCTTTTGGACCTTTGTTCCTCCCAACCTCTATCCCCCAAATATGTTTCCCTACCTAATCAAATATTTCTCATCCTTTAAGGCTCAATTCAAGCACTTCCTTCTCTGTGAAAACTGCCCAGATCCTCCAAGTCATAATTGGTCAATCCCTCTTCTACTACATTCCCATACCATATTGTCAGTATTTCTTCCTGCTAAGAATTATAGGCAATAGCCTCTGTGTCTGTTTCCCATACACCACTATAAGCTACCCTAGAGCAGGGACCATTTCTTACACTTATCCATTGTACCTGGAAGGTACAATGTACATTGTACCTGATTCGTTTTTTTTTTATTTCAATTTGAATTTTTTAATTGACAAAGTATAATCATACATATTTATGGGGTATAATGCAATATTATGATATATGTATACAATGTGGGATGATTAAATCAAGTTGATGAACACATCCATCCATTCATATTCTTATCATTTTGTGGTGAGAATGTTTGAGACTTACTCCCTTAGCAGTTTTGAAATATACAATATATTAGTAACTAGTCACCTTGCTGTGCAATAGATCTCAAAAACCTATTTCTTCTGTCTAACTGAAACTTGTACCCTTTGACCAACATCATTTCATTTTTCCCCCTCATCCACTGACTACAGCCTCTAGTAACCATCATTCTACTCTCCACTTCTATGAGTTAAACTTTTTTAGATTCTACATATAAGTGAGATCATATTTGTCTTTCTATGCCCAGCTTATTTCACTTAGCATAATATCTTATCATCCTAGAGTGCTGTACTTGAAGCACTCTAAATATAAATATAGCATATCTCCTTATGGTAGCAATTTTACTCTTTATAGTAGCAATTTTACTCAATTTTTGGCAATTTTTAAAATTATCATATATTTTTAAATGTTCAGTTATTTTATAGAGGAGGCATAAAATTAGCTTGAGTTTTAAAGATAAATAAATACATTTATATCATTTGTTCACATTCCTCTGACATGTGAAAAGCTTGAGAACTTTTTGCAGTGGGCAGTCAACACAAGTTTGAGTTGAATTTAATTTAATTCCAGGAGATGTTTATGGTTAATTTCTTTCCCTAAAGAAAACAACACAGAACTTTATTTGTTCATAGCCAGGAGATGTATTCGTTTTTTTAAAATTAATGAGTTGAAAAGGCCAACTGGAAAAATCAATGCTATTTATTTTACCTAAATTGTAATTTTTATTTTAACTAAACATGTAGACTGAGAAATCCTTCAGAGCACTACCCTTTGGAAAAGACCAAGTGCTTCTTTGTATTTACAATAATGTTTATAAGGATACATCACACACACAAAATAGCATGTGCAATGTATGCAGTTTACTCTTCAAAATCTTTATAGCATCTGATAAGTAAAAATTTAAATCAATAGTAAATAAAATTTATCAAGTGAAATATCCTTGAGACTTTATGAAGCCACTGCCAAGAAGTAGAACGTAGGCCTAATATTGGATTTTAATTTTTAAATTTTTCATAATTTATTTATTTGTTTGTTTTTAGTGACAGTCTCTCTCTGTCACCCATGTCAAAGTGCAGTGGCATGATCATAACTCACTACAGCCTCAAACTCCTGTGCTCAAGCAGTCCTCCTGCCTTAGCTTCCCAAGTAGCTAGGACTACAGGTTCACGCCATCACATCTAGCTACTTCTTTTGTAGAGTTGGCATCTCACTATGTTGCCCAGGCTGTTCATGAACTCCTGACCTCAAGCTATTCTCCCTCCTTGGCCTCCCAAAGTGCTGGAATTACAGGCATAAGCCACTGCACCTGGCCTAATGTTGAATTTTCAGTTAGGTATATTAGCTTAAGTACAGCCAAACAGAAATGAACCAGCTATGACATTATTTGTAAGCCTTACTTTATACTATATTGCTTTAAAACCTAAATTACAAACATAATTGTAAAAGTGATCCATGCTCAGTGTAGAAATGTTGAGACCCTGCACCCTCTTTCCTGCTCATTGCTGGTGGAAGGGTAAATGGGAAGCCAAATGGCCCCTCTGGAGCTCCTGGAAGACAGCAGAGGGAACAAGGGTGGCAGAATCGGGAATGAGTGTCCACCCTGAGTGACTGGCACCACCTAGACTGTGCATGGGACTTACCACAGCCAAGAGGGCAAATGCTGCCTAGATTTTGAGTTTTACATGAGTTTTACATGCAGCTCTTTTATCTTATAAATACAGTTTCAGAACTTTATTCCCCCAATTCACTTTGTGAAAGCAATGGCTTTCCAATCAATTCCACTTGATTTTAGCAATATATCTCTTAATAGCATATTATTTAGTCAATGATCCTCTCCTAAATTGAAATCAAATGTTCACATCTCCTTTTTATATCTTATTCACCATCCAAATTATTCTTTACATTATCATTTATTTAATCATGCATTAATTACAGATTTTTTGCTCTTCCCTCAGTGGACATCCTTCCCTACACCAGACTAGCTGTCAAACTCCTAGTGTCTTTGAAGATGCATCGCAAGTGTGCCCCTTCCCTGTCTTTCTTGATGTGCCCCAGTAGAGTTAAGCTCTGCTTTTCCGTGCTGCCATAGCATCTTGTTCACACTTCTATTATAGTATTTATGTTAAAATATTAAGCTGAAGGTCTTACTTCTACAAGATCAGGGGTCCATATACTCTCAGAGTGTCCATGAATATCCTGAATTATAGGCAAAATTTCATGTAGGCTCATTTTCTTCTGAGGAAAGAGTTCCAGAGCTCACATCATACTCTCAAAGGAGTCCGTAATTACTCTCTCAAAAATAAATTAAGAGCCACTGCACTAGATTATGAGTCCCTAGGAAACAAAGAGTGAGTTCTATTCTTTGAGTCTGTGCGTTTAGATGGCTAATGTTAGCTGAATGAGCATTTCAGTTATTGTTTAAAGATAGATTGTTTATTCTAGTAAAGATACATAGTAAATTCAACTTCCTCTATTCATTGATTCTTTTTTTAAGTAGACAGGAAGTGTGATACAGTGAAAAATACAGTGCAAAAAAGGAAAGATATGGAAGGATTTATACCAAACTACTAACAGTGGTTATGCTTGGAAAGATGGATGGGGTTGCGGTGGGATGGGCTTTTTTTTTTTTTTTTTTTTTTTGAGACAGAGTCTCGCTTTGTTGCCCGGGCTAGAGTGAGTGCCGTGGCGTCAGCCTAGCTCACAGCAACCTCAAACTCCTGGGCTCGAGTGATCCTTCTGCCTCAGCCTCCCAGGTAGCTGGGACTACAGGCATGTGCCACCATGCCCGGCTAATTTTTTATATATATATATCAGTTGGCCAATTAATTTCTTTCTATTTATAGTAGAGACGGGGTCTCGCTCAGGCTGGTTTTGAACTCCTGACCTTGAGCAATCCGCCCGCCTCGGCCTCCCAAGAGCTAGGATTACAGGCGTGAGCCACAGCGCCCGGCCGGGATGGGCTTTTAAACTTACCTTCTTTCTTGATCAAGTTTGTTTATTTTACAATGAGCATTTTTTAGCTTTGAAATTTAAAAATAATATTTTAAACTATGGGACTTTTTCTCAAGTGTCTCAGACATCTAGCTTCACATCCCAGCTCTGCTACTTATTTAGTCTTGTGACCTGGGAGAATTATTTAATCTTCACAAGCCTATATTTCCTTAACTGTAAAGTGGGCATAATAGCCACCTACCTCACATGGTTATTAAGTGACAAAGCCCAACATAAAGTAGCAACTCAGAATATATTTGTTCAATGTAAAGTAAAGATTGTCTATCTTAAGTTTTTTTTTTTTTTTTTTTTTTTTTGCAATCCTCAAATTCATCCAAAATAAAACCAAATTAAGGCCAGGCGGGAGCGGTGGCTCACACCTGTAATCCTAGCACTCTGGGAGGCCGATGTGGGAGGATTGTTTGAGGTTAGGAGTTCAAGATCAGCCTGAGCAAGACTGAGACCCTATGTGTACAAAAAATAGAAAGATTAGCCAGGCACAGTGGCACATGCCTGTAATCCCAGCTACTCAGGAGACTAAGGAAGGAGAATAGCCTGAACCCAGGAGTTTGAGGTTGCAATGAGCTATGATCATGCCACTCTACTGGAGGAGACAGACTGAGACTCTGTCTCAAAAAAAAAAACAAAAAAAAACACCTAAATTAAAACATAGTTCATTCTTTTCTCAATACTGAGTAATTATTCATATATGCAGTAAATCTGATATAATGCAGCTGATTTATAAAGTGGCTATTAGTCCTGACTGCTAACTAATAAAGTAATCCCATAATTTATTTGTTGATTTTTAGACAAACAAGGGTTACAAAATTCCAAAAAGAAATTTATAATATTTCTGCTTCAAGAAAGATCTTTGAATTAAACGTAAGTTCTCAGTTTCTCTATGTTATTACTAGAAACAAGTTCTTTGCAATTTTCACTTACCCGGTGTCCTGTCTCCACTGGGAGACATCACATCGTGTTTTTTGAAGTCTTCTTTCTGATTCTTTTAGAGGTTCTGTAGAAAACAAAATGCCATTGATAATGACAGGCACCTTGCATCTCATACCATCCTTTTTGCCTATAATTTTATAAGTAAAATTTCTTATTATATATGCAACCCACTGTTGTTTAAAATTTCTAATAACTCAGACCCTAAAATAGTGAAAGCCACAAATCTAGAGTTTTTCTAAAGTATCTCACTTTAAATGAAATCACTGACATCAAGTGGCAAGTGAAATCGGGTTGTAATAGGTTTCTCTGTAGGGGCTAATTGAGGTGATCTACAATCAAAACTAAGTGCAAATCCATTTAGGAAACATGCTATGATTTATATGGCTTTTGTTGGCAGTTCCAAGTCAGCAACATGGACTTTGGTTTCCTGATCTGTATAATTGGCAAAGTAATAATAATATTCACCTCACAGTGTAGATTTGAGGACTAAGGGACATAGGGGTGGAGCGGGGAGGACTGAGATGGGGGGAGGGGCAAAGGCTTACTTTGTCAATTTAGTGACTCATTTTTTTAAAAATCCTTTATCCTAGATGTTTATTCCCAGCTTGGCTTGCTCTCCCCGCCACCCCCCTTTACTGAAAATTTTTCTTAAAAGATTGCTTTTGTGCATCATGCTGTATTTTGTCCTAAAGGAATATAAGAGGCAATATAAGGTCTGATACTGGCTCTGTCAGATGCTGCTAGTTGCCACCCAGTATCCATTCTCCCCTTTTTCTTTAGTAGCCCCGTTAAAAGACTATATTCCCCCTTCTCTGGCACAGCGAGGTGTGACCGTGAGACTAGATTTCTACCCGTGCTATAGAAGTAGAAATAGTGTGAGTGACTTTTGGGAAGTCTCCTAAAAGAAGGGAACAAACCTTTTTTCTCCCATTTCTCCTTCTTGCCAGCTGAACATGAATGGGATATGTGGAGCCCAAGAGGTGATACACTGAGGGTGGCAGAGAGCAAGACAAAAGGAACCTGGGTCCCCACACCAAGGAACTGATCTAACAGCTCTGGACTGCCTACCTCTGAACTTTTTTTTTTTTTTAATGTAAGAGAAAAATATACTTCTAGCTTCTTTAAGCCACTATTATTCTGGTTTTTCCATTATATACAGATGAACCCAATCCTTACTAATATGCTGGTCCTCTAAGAAGTTTTCCAGCAGCAAGAATGATTTTTAATTCTTGAAAGTTTTCTCACATTTCTTTGGAGCATACATGTGCTTTCTACTTATTAACGAGAAATTCTCCACCTTCAAGAAGCCTTGAGTAGGCCGGATGCAGCGGCTCACACCTGTAATCCTAGCACTCTGGGAGGCCAAGGAGGGTGGATTGCTCAAGGTCAGGAGTTCGAAACCAGCCTGAGCAAGAGTGAGACCCCGTCTCTACTAAAATTAAAAAGAAATTAATTGGCCAAATATAAATATATAGAAAAAATTAGCCGGGCATGGTGGCGCATGCCTTGTAGTCCCAGCTACTCAGGAGGCTGAGACAGGAGGATCGCTTGAGCCCAGGAGTTTGAGGTTGCTGTGAGCTAAGCTGATGTCACAACACTCTAGCCCAGGCAACAAAAAAAAGAAACTCTGCCTCAAAAAAAAAAGCCTTGAGTGTGTCACTCCAGCTCTTGCTTTTACTCTTTCTCCTTTGCATCACCCACATTTTCGATACTATTCACTCAATGGAGCTCTGTAGATAGAAACTTGGAAAATGGGACCATTTTATTGTGGAATAAAGAAGGAAAGCTTGGCTAAAATTAAGTTTTTAGTTTTTTGTGTGGATTATAGGGAAAACAGAGTGCGTTTGAATTCAACAAGTATTTATCAAGCATATACCATGTAAAAGGCATTGTGCCAGGTGCTGGGAGAAACTCAAAAATGAGATTGTTCCTGCTTACAGTCTAGTAGGAAAGATGAGACACAAAAATAACCTATAACACATGATGAGTTGTGACAAATGACATGAGAAAAGCCTAAAGTGCCTAAAACTTTCAGAGGAGAAAAGATGAGTTCCAGTTGTGAGATTAGAGGAAGTTTCATGAAGAAGACAGGATTTGAACTGGGTTTTGCACTATATGTAGAAATGGTCAAAAGAGGATCACTGACAGAACAAAATAAGGCACAGGTGGATTTAGGGAATCCTAGGTGCATGGAGGCCAGAGTAGAAGGTAAGCTAGACAGATAGATTGGGGTCAGTAAGAGGACCTAAATATTTTCTTTGGAACCTGCTCTGCAGTGGAGAGAATAAGAAGTCACTGAAAGTTTTTAAGCAACTAACAAAATCATGTCTTATGTAGGAAGACGACTTTATGGCACTAGAGAAAAGATCAGCTACAAAAACACCAGTAAGTAGGTACCTTTAATAACCCATGTAAAAGATAATGATGTCCTGAATTAGGGAAGTGACTATTAGAAAGGAAAGGAGGGCACAGATAGAAGTGACATTTCTAAGGTTACTGCATGAGCTAAATTTATGCTTTGCTCAAGAAAAAGAGTTGGATTGTAACTCTCAGATTCAGAAGCAGAAAATATATCCATAAAAGAATTTTTTAAATTGCTCTAAACTTATTTGAACTGGGAAACTAAAAGAAGACTGAATATGCTGTAATAATGAACTTATTGATTCTACAATTTTAGCAGAGCCTTAACTTTTACTTTCTCCACATGTTAAGTGGGGGAGCACTGACTAACTCTGCTAGGAGATGGCGAAAGCGTATTGAAAGATACCTCAGTAAAGAAATACAACCATCCCTTCTTTCCCACTGTTTCTTCCTTTGCCCAGGCATTATGGTAAATAGCAAGTGTCAGGGTACCTTAAACAGTAAGGTTTTCCCACCTCTCCCCAATTACACCTTTACTCATGTTTATGTACCATCTCTACCCACCACACCCACATACTCCATAAGAAATCCAATGAAAATTTAAGAAGAGGAGGCTTTTTAGAGAAGATAAGAATTTTCCAGGCCAGATGTGGTGGCTCACACCTATAATACCAGCACTTTCGGAAGCTAAGGTGGGAGGATCACTTGACCTCAGGAGTTCAAGAACAGCCTGAGCAACATGGCAAGACCCTGTCTCTACAAAACATAGAAAAATTAGCCAGGCATGGTGGTGTATGCCTGTAGTCTCAGCTACTTAAGAAGCTGAGACAGGAGGATTGAGGTTGCAGTGAGCTATGATGACACCACTGCCCTCTACCCAGGGCGACAGAGTAAGAACCTTGTCTAAAAAAAAAAAAAAAAAAAAAAAATCCAATATTTGCCACTTTGTGGCTCACTAAAATAATGCCAGTACAGCCTGAGGAAAAATGGGAAGGGCGGACATGATCCCATATAAGGGCATCGAATCCTCAAATAGCTTTGAAATAAGTAGGTCCCAAAGATAAATCCAAAACAACTACTTCTTCATTCTCAAGGAATAAATTCTAGAGATTTTCTCAAATGGATAAATTTGAGCATCTGATCTGCTGTCATTGTCTCTTTATTTTTCTAATTATTTTAGGAAGACTTGAACCGCTGTTAATATCTACTACCTTCTCTTTATCAATAAGGGCAGAAACAGACAAAAAAATAATCATGAACCCACCAACCAGAAGAGTATTCTCTCTGTAACATTAGCAGTTTATCTTATTTGGGGCACTGAAAGTGCTTTCTAAGTTCAATAATGAGGATTTATTTTTTCTTCTGTGACTCCCAAGGTGATTCTTGGCACTCTGAAAGGCACGAGTCCTTGGGGAAAAGCAGCAGTAATGTGAAGAATATTGGTTAAACGGTTTCACTCTCATGTAAATTGTGTGTGGAGGGTAAGGAGAATCAGTATCTTCCACACTGTCCCTAAGAAAAGATTAGCAAGAATTATTAACTTAAAGATTCTTATGTTTTATAAAAATCCAGAAACTAAGAGAAATATTGAACAACTACTCCAGTCAAAATCAAACTCAAAAATCAAAAGTTCTTAGCCTGGGGTCTGTGCATTGGGCTTCAGATCACCTGTAAATCTGAAATTGTTCGCAAAATGTTACGTGATTTTACATTTTTTTGCAGAAAGGGTGGATTGGTTTCTAAAGATTCTGAGAGCGATCCTTTGCCCCCCAAAACGTTAAGAACTGCTGTCATTAAAGAAAAATAAAGTAAGGAAGGGAGGGAGAGAAGGAGAGAGGAAAGAAGGTAGGGAAGGCAGCAAGAAGGGAAAGAGGTCAATCTTTGTGCACAGATTGCTTAGCATTTTCTAGTGGCCTGCTATAAATGTGTAAGTACACTCATACACAGAGAAGAGGGAAGGAAGGAGGGAGACTAAAGAGAATTCAGGAATCTCATCAAACCTATCTCAAACTAAACCAACCAAAGGTAATGTGAAATTTGCACATGGCTCTGATCTGTCAACTTTTAGCTTCACAACACATCATTTATATTTGTATTAAAAGTTAACCATAGTATGATTATCTTGCTTTCAAAAGCCTCTGAGTTTTCAAATGGGTTCAGACTGAATTTTCAGAGCCTATGGTATTAACAAAAATGTAGATGTTGATTAAATTTTTGGAAACTGTTTAGAATAAATATATGTCAAAACCTTTTTCTCTAATATAAACTTTTGATCATTTATGTTGAATACTTCAAAAGTAGACACCAATAAAATATCTATATCATTTGCTGCAATATAATTTTGTATTTAAAGGAGCTATTAGAAAAATTAAAGGGGGATACAGAGACAGATTTCTATATATTCAGAATACTACTGTTTAAGTATATTAAAAAATCATATAGGCTGGTCTCAGTGGCTCACACCTGTAATCCTAGCACTCTGGGAAGGCGAGGCAGGTGGATCGCTCAAGCTCAGGAGTTCGAAACCAGCCTGAGCAAGAGCAAGACCTCGTCTCTACTAAAAAAAATAGAAAGAAATTAATTGGCCAACTAAAAATTTATAGAAAAAATTAGCTGGCCATAGTGGCTCATGCCTGTAGTCCCAGCTACTCAGGAGGCTGAGGCAGAAGGATTGCTTGAGCCCAGGAGTTTGAGGTTGCTGTGAGCTAGGCTGATGCCATGGCACTCTAGCCCAGGCAATAGAGCGAGACTCTGTCTCAAAAAAAAAAAAATCATATAATTCCAATACTAATTATAATGGAATCCTATTCTCACTTGAGAAAGCTTGTTAGTGAAACTCAATTCTTCTCATCATACCTCTGAAACCTCTTAAAGTATTGAGAATTAGGTTTCACTAATAAATGCCCCTGTGTAATTAATCAGCACACATTTTCAATCAGCACACATTTTTTTCTGTGCATAGAGGAGTGAACTTTCATAGAATCCTCCATCCTTTTTCTGTGTTACAAAGGCATAAACCAATCTCCCTCCATCTCTAATCCTTTTCATTCTTTAATTATTCTGAATTCCAAAGAGCCATGTACATGTTAGATTTATGCTACCTGTCATTTTTTCTTTAAGATTGCTCTCAAAATTTAACTCAGCTTCAACTAAATATATAAATATGCAGAACAACTTCAGTCCCTGAACAGTTCATTAGCTGACAAACTGCAAAAACAGTTAAGACATAATATAAAAATTAAGCAAGGAAGTAAATGAATAATTTACAAATTGTTACTTGCTAAAAACTTGAATAAAACTTATTTCAAACAAACTCTTGAATAAAACTTATTTCTTTGAATGGCTACCTTAAATAAATGTTAGCATATTTTAAATTTAAATTAATATACCATATGGTAAGGAATGATGAATTTTCTTCTCTTATAAAATTATTTCCCCTTTCAATACCTCTTAAAGTACATAAAAGCACACACTTACCCCATGGTGCTTGCTGTGGTTATATCATCCTCAGATCAAGGCTTATCTGGATTCTGAATTAACTTAACGGTTATAAAAAGAAGCAGTGGAGAGGTTTGACTTCCCCTGAAACGAGACTGTCATATGCTAACCAGGCTTTTAAATGAGGAAAACTAGTGTCTCTTCTAATTATATAAGCACCAGGTCAAATTCTAGCATCAACTAATTGAACAACTGAACTGCATTTAGTTTCAAGAAGTAAAAGGAAGAAAACCATTTAAGAGGAATATCTTTGGTATCTTAGAAAACTGAAAAATTATACATAGAAAAGTTATTAATATAATGATAACAAGTTAAAGATTTTAAGAGTAAAATATTTATCTTGCTACATTAAATAATTTGAAGACAAATATTGGGGAAAATTTAGTGTGCAACAAAGCAGATACTTTTTTATAAAGAATTTTCCAGAAGTTTTGAATGCACATTATATGTACTGGTCTCTGAAAATATTCTGTCACCTTATCTTAACTTGTCCACTATTTATTTCTTTACAAGTTCCAGCACAAAAATAGCATTTAATTCTAAAGCCATACCAGCAGCAAATCAAAAATGTCCAATTTTTAAAATATATCTTTGAACCCTTACAAATAAGGCCTTTTGAAATTAAATACAAAGACAATGTTAAGAGAAACTAACAAAAATACATTTTAAAAGACATTTAAACCTAAATTTATCCTAGTACAGCAAAAACTAAAAATATACATTTTTTGTAAATGATATATTAAGCAACACAAATATTCACAAGATTTTGAATAAATATGATAAAATTATCTATTGCATATACTATTTTTTGTCAGTTTTAGAATAACAGAGTTTCAGCAAAAACACTCAGTTCTTTATTGTAATATTTAAAATGTAACTGACATATAATGTTCTGATCATTTTTAAATTGTTTTATATAGAAGGTAAAGAATCTTTCTGCACATAGACTATATGACAACACTCAGATGTACTTTTGAAGAAATTGTAGAATTTCTTAAGAATACCATACATAAAATTTGCCCTTCAAAATGAACAATTCAGTGGTTTTTAGAATATTCACAAGATTGTGCAACTATCACCATTATCTAATTCTATTAATAGCATGTTTCCATCACCCCAAAATGAAACCCCACACCTCCTAATTCCTTCCTCCCCCAGCGACCACTAATCTATTTTCTGTCTCTAAGGATTTGCCTATTCTGGGCATTTCACATAAATGGAATCACACAGTATGTAGCCTTTTGTGACTGATCCCTTTCACTGAGTGAAATGTTTCCTAAATTCATCCTTGTTGTACTATCAGTATTTTATTTCTTTTCATGGCTGAATAATATTCCACTGTGTGGATGTGCTACATTTTGTTTATTCATTCCTCGTATGATGGATATTTGGGCTGTTTCCAGTTTGAGGCTATTAGGAATGTCTCAGTCCATTTGCAATGCTATAACAAAAAACCTTAAACTGAGTAATTTATAAACAACAGAAATTTATTGCTCACAGTTCTGGAGGCTGACAAGTCCAAGATTAAGATGCCAGCACATTTGGTGTCCGGTGAGGGCTTGCTCTCTTCTTCAAAGATAGTGCCTTCTTGCTGAGATCTCACATGGCGGCAGCAGCAAGCAAGCTCCCTAACACTCTTCTATAAGGGCGCTAATCCCATCTGTGAGGACTCTGCCCTCATGACCTAATCACCTCCCAAGGGCCCTACTTCTTAATCTCACCACAATAAGGGGTATGTTTCAACATGAATTTTGGAGAGACACAAACATTCAGACCATAGCAGTGAATAACATTACTATGAACAATTGTGTATAAATCAATTTCTCTTAGGTACATACCTAGGAATTGCTGAGTCATATGGTAACTCTATGTCTAATTTCTTGAAGAACTGTTTTCCACAGCACCTGTACCATTTTACATTCCCACCAGAAATGTTTGAGGATTCCAATTTCTACACATCATTGCCAATCTTTGTTATTGTCTGTTGTTTTTTTTTTTAATATAGCCATCCTAGTGGGTGTGAAGTGGTATCTCACTGTGGGTTTAACTTGCATTTCCCTAGAGTAATGATGTTGAGCATCTTTTTATTTATTTATTGGCCATTTGCACACCTTCTTTGGAGAAATGTTTATTCCAATTCTTTGCCCATTTTTAAATGGAATATTTTCTTTATTATTGAGTTAGTTATAAGAGTTCTTTATATATTCCAGAAACTAGACCTTTATCAGTGTTATGGTTTTTATTGTTATGGTTTCTTTTTATTTTCTTTTTTTAAAATCAATTTTCACTTTTTGTCCCCCTTCCTTTACACACTACATCTGGAATCAACTTCCCTTTAAAGTCGTGTTAACGGTTTCTTTCTAATTTGGTCTCACTTTGTTGCCCCAGCTAGAGTGAGTGCCGTGGCGTCAGCCTAGCTCACAGCAACCTCAAGCTCCTGGGCTCAAGCAATCCTACTGCCTCAGCCTCCTGAGTAGCTGGGACTACAGGAATGCGCCACCATGCCCAGCTAATTTTTTCTATATCTATTAGTTGGCCAATTAATTTCTTTCTATTTATAGTAGAAACGGGGTCTTGCTCTTGCTCAGGCTGGTTTCGAACTCCTGACCTTGAGCAATCCGCCTGCCTCAGCCTCCCAGAGTGCTAGGATTACAGGTGTGAGCCACCTCGACCGGCCTCTAATTTGGTCTTGAGGTCTGTCAAGAATGACGGTAAGCCAAGACAGCTACTCTCAAGCAAAGACCCTCCTGGGGTCAAGTCATGTTTGGGTGTGTCCATTAGATGAGACACACAAGTGGTTAGGATATGGAGAAATTGGAACACTTGCTGTTTTGTCCCACAGAACTCTCTGCTGGAATCGCCCCAAAAATGACAGTGGTGGCAGGGAAGTTCCCACAGGGAGTGCTCCAAACTGTCCTCAAGATGGGGTCAGTTGGGATTCCAAAGAAAAAAGCACTAATGCCAGCTTGATCAATCCGAAGCATTTATTCAGAGAACTCACAGATTGTTGCAGCAATGTTTGTGATGGACAGCTAGAGAAAGGAAAGTATTCTACCCAGGTATGTCTGCAGCAAGGGAGGTCAAAGTATGGAGTTTATATGAGGCTATAAGGCAGGGATTCTCAAACTTTTTAAACAGGGGGCCAGTTCACTGTCCCTCAGACTGTTGGATGGCCATTGGAGAGTGCAGCGGTGCACATTCCATGCATGCGCACTGTGGCCCAGGACGAGTAGGCTGCTAAGCAGGACAGGCAGTGGCTGCAAAAACACCCGGTGGGCCGGATAAATGTGCTTGGCGGGCCGCTTGTGGCCCACTTTTAGTGTTTGGGGCAACAACCTAGCTACCTTTTTTTTTTTTTTTTTTTTTTGAAACAGGGTCTTGCTCTTGTCTGGCTAGAGTGCAGTGGCACCATCATAGTTCATTGTACCCTCAAAGTCCAGGGTTCAAGCGCTTCTCCTGCCTCAGTCTCCCACGTAACTAGGACTATCAAGCACACGCCACCACACCGAGCTAATTTTTCTATTTTTTGTAGAGACAGGAGTCTCGTTCTTGCTCAGGCTGGTCTCAAACTCCTGGCCTGTAAATATCCTCCTGCCTCAGCCTCCTAGAGTACTAGGATTACAGGAGTGAGCCACTGCACCCAACTAACAACCTAGATACCTTTATCAGTGACTGGGAATGTTCAAGGTCCCAGTTTGGGTTCCCGCCTGCTGGGAAAAACCTGTAGCTGCTAGGTCCCAGACTGGTCAAGGCACTCTGTGATTTTTGTTCAGGACACAGAAAGAAAGCTGGGAGGGAGGGGCTGGGGGACCCTACATTTGCCCACTGTAAGTAGAAGTGCAAAATAGTACAGCCACTGTGGTAAATAGTATGAAGGTTTCTTAAAAGATTAAAAATAGAACTACCATATGCTTCAGCAATCCTACTTCTGGGTATTACCCAAAAGAAATATCAAGATCTCAAAGAGATATTAGCACTCCTATATTCATTGCAGCATCATTTACAATAGCCAAGTTGTAGAAACAACCTGAATGTCAAGCAACAATGAATTAGGAAAATGTAGTAGATACATACAATGTAATACTATTCAGCCTTTAAAAAAGGAAATTCTGCAATAGGTAACAACATAAATAAACCTTGAAGACATTATCCTAAGTGAAATAAGCTAGTCACAGAAAGACCAATACTGCATGATTCCATTTGTATGAAGTGTCTAAATTAGTCAAATTCGTAGAATCGAAGAAAGGAATAATAGTTATCAGGGGCTAGGGTAAGGGGAAAATGAGGAATTCCCAATCAATGGGCATAAAGTTTCAGTCAAGCAAGACGAATGAGCTCTAGAGAGTTGCTGTACAACACTGTACCTATAATTAACAATGATGCATTGTACACTTAAAATTTTGTTAAGAGGGTAGATCTCATACTAAGTGTTCTTACCACAATAATTTAAAAAGTTCAGTGGGGACAAATTTTTTTTCTTCTAAAATAATCACACAAGCATAAACTAGAAAAAACAAAAAGATGACAAAACTCAGGCACAAGATTGGATATTTTTTTTGTTTTTTGAGACAGTGTCTTACTCTGTTGCCCTCGTTAGAGTGCTGTGGCGTCAGTCTAGCTCACAGCAACCTCAAACTCCTGGGCTCAAGCAATCCTCCTACCTCAGCCTCCTGAGTAGCTGGGGCTACAGGCATGTGCCACCATGCCCAGCTAATTTTTTCTATATATTTTTAGTTGGTCAATTAATTTATTTCTATTTTTAGTAGAGATGGGGTCTCACTCTTGCTCAGGCTGGTTTGAAACTCCTGACCTTGAGCCATCCTCACACCTCGGCCTCCCAGAGTGCTAGGATTACAGGCGTGAGCCACAGCGTCTGGCCTGGATACTGACATTACCAAGATCTGGACAGTTCTCCTGTAGTTACTAAAATGAGCAAACTCGGAATTGAATTACATTATTAAAACTAATTATAAGATAATAAAAATAAAGTTCAAAAATGCATAAGTGAGTGATGGTTTTATTGGAAAACTTACAATACAGAGGTAGTATACAAAGTAATTTCAAACAATAGATTGAGTTGCTTTCCTTACAACTAAAAGCTTCATGTACTTTAATGCAGAACATCTACATGTGCAGCTTTAGTCTCAGGCCTGGAGCAGCTGTGAAATGAAAGTTACCACTCCATTCTAGTCCTCGGATATCAGTATATTCCCCTTCTCCTTCCACCCTGCAATAGTAAAAAATAAGTTTGTTCATTAACCATGACCAAGAATTTACAGTCCAGATATAACATTGTCAAGCATATCATATACTATTTCTAAAGCATTATATCTTTCTATCTTCAAGCTTTGATTTAAAACCCAGCATCTTGCTTTCATATCCTACAACAAAAACACTATGTCAAACATTGTCATTTTACAAATTTTAGTGTCCAAGACATTAGGATCACATAAGCTAAGTTCACGTAAAATGAAAACAATCAATTAAAAAATGAAAAGTTTATATTGGTTATTTGGCTTAATTAGTTCATTCATCTATACAACAAATATTTCTTGACCATCAACTATGTTTGAGGTTCTGTGCTCTGTTCTGGTGTTTTCTTGGACTTTTGGGTGTGGTAAAAATGCACTTCACATAAACAAACAGAACTTTAACCCATTGGTTAGATTTTTCTCCCTTTATTAACATCAACGGAAAAAGTTTATGTGTTATTGTCACAGACTTGGAGTTAAAAATTTTTTTTTAGGCCGGGGGCGGTGGCTCACGCCTGTAATCCTAGCTCTCTGGGAGGCCGAGGCGGGCGGATTGCTCGAGGTCAGGAGTTCGAAACCAGCCTGAGCAAGAGCGAGACCCCGTCTCTACTATAAATAGAAAGAAATTAATTGGCCAACTAATATATATAGAAAAAATTAGCCGGGCATGGTGGCGCATGCCTGTAGTCCCAGCTACTTGGGAGGCTGAGGCAGAAGGATTGCTTGAGCCAGGAGTTTGAGGTTGCTGTGAGCTAGGCTGACGCCACGGCACTCACTCTAGCCTGGGCAACAAAGTGAGACTCTGTCTCAAAAAAAAAAAATTAGCCAGGAGTGATGGCGCATGCCTGTAGTTCCAGTTACTAAGGAGGCTGAGGCAGGAAGATCACTTGAACCCAGAAATTCAAGGCTTCAGTGAACTATGATTGGGCTACTGTACTTAAGCTTGGGTGACAGAGAAAGATTTAAAAAAAAAAAAAATAGAGGTGAATTTTCTGTCCTCCTCAAAATGTATTCACATCGACTACTTTATAACAATTAGGTTGCATTTTCAATTCTGGAAGTAATCAAGGGGTATTTGTAAATGTGCTTGAACTTCTGGATGGTATGTCATGATATTCAGTGTGACGATTAAGCTTGTAAAGCTGTACTCATGTTTTGTTTCACTTTTATTTTTCCTACAAGCATATGCTTAGAAAGGACAATAGTAGGTACATTTCTACAACTTGAAAATTAATTTTGCTTACATTTAAAAATTAGCCTAGTAAAAATGTACACATATGTCAGGTCAAGATGAAATAAACAATTATGATATTACCCCCAAGGCTGCTTTTTAAAAAGTATATCAAGATATTTCAAATAAAAGTAATTTTTGACCTAAATTTTCTCAGTGATTGCAAAAAGCTTTCCATTTCCAAGCTGACCGCAAATAGTTTTGCAGGTATTCCTGCAAAGGGTAAAGAGAGGTAAAGGGGATAAATGAAAAGTCTAATAAATTATCACAAAGAATAATATTTCCTTTTGAAGGCTTATGATAGTCTTAGCCTCTCTTTTAACACCCCCCCAAAAAATTAACCCAACAAATTTCAGAAACTAAATATATTACAAAAGAATATTTAACATTAATTATAGTATTTAAGCAAACATATCAGAAAAAATCTTTTAGAACTATAACAATTTTTTATTTCAAACTTACCTATTTTCATTGAAATTTCCAGTGTACTTTGCCCCAGTTGGGAATGTATAAGTCCCTAATCCATGAAACATATTATCCTTAAATTGTCCTTCATATACTGCTCCTGAAAAATGTTCAAGTCTTCCAAAACCATTCATCTGTTTGCAATAAAGGAAATGATCTCAGAAACTAATTTTAAGTTTCCCCAGAACCTTTGAAAAATGTACACATACAAGTCTATCATCTACTCAGTTATTATTATTATTATTATTATTATTATTATTATTATTATTTTTGAGACAGAGTCTCACTCAGTTGCCTGGGCTAGCGTGCCATGGCATTAGCCTAGTTCACAGCAACCTCAAACTCCTGGGCTCAAGCAATCCTTCTGCCTCAGCCTCCCGAGTAGCTGGGACTACAGACATGCAGCACCACGCCAAGCTAATTTTTTCTATATATTTTTAGTCAGCCAATTAATTTCATTCTATCTTCAGTAGAGACGGGGTCTCGCTCTTGCTCAGGCTGGTCTCAAACTCCTGACCTTGAGCAATCCTCCCACCTCGGCCTCCTGGAGTGCTCGGATTACAGGTGTGAGCCACCACACCCAGTCCACTTAGTTATTATTTAATCAACTTTGTATCATCCTTATTTCATAGCAACAAGAAAACATTTTTTTTTTTTTAAGAAAAAATTTTTGGCCGGGCGCGGTGGCTCACGCCTGTAATCCTAGCACTCTGGGAGGCCGAGGCGGGTGGATTGCTCAAGGTCAGGAGTTCAAAACCAGCCTGAGCGAGACCCCGTCTCTACCATAAAAATAGAAAGAAATTAATTGGCCAACTAATATATATATATATAAAAATCAGCCGGGCATGGTGGCTTGTGCCTGTAGTCCCAGCTACTTGGGAGGCTGAGGCAGGAGGATGGCTTGAGCCCAGGAGTTTGAGGTTGCTGTGAGCTAGGCTGATGCCATGGCACTCACTCTAGCCTAGGCAAGAAAGCTAGACTCTGTCTCAAAAAAAAAAAAAAAAAAAAAAAAAACTTTTTATCATTGTCCTTCATCTGTATCAATTTGTGAAGCCCACTAAATCAAATGTTTCTGATCTGAAGCATCTGAACATCTGGGGGTCCATGATGATATTCATAGGGGTCCTCAAGATAATTTGTCTTAAGGGCAACCAGTTTAGTTAGCTTAGGAAACAGTACAAAGCCATCGTTAAAAACTCAAGTTGGATTCAAGCAGATCTGGGTACATACTCTTGTTTCATCACTACTAGCGGGGCAAGAAATCTGAGCCTGATTTCCCTTACTTGTAAAATAGGAGTATCAATGGTAGTTACCTCATGGATTATTATGAGGATTGAATGAGAAAATTATGTAATAAGTATAGCTTTACTACTTAATCAATGGGAGATGAGAAAGATGGAAATGATGATTAGTTCTCGGCAATGAGTTTAATATTACTCATATGTTAAATATGATCATTTATGATTTTTAGTATATAGTCTACTCATTATATGTGTTTTTGATTTAATGGTGAAGTGCCCAGAATCATTTACCCACAGGGTTATTTATTCACTGTCAGTATTAAAAACAACAGTACCTTGTCATCTCTCCAGCTTCCTGTGTAGACAATCCCATTAGGTGTGGTATGAACACCCATTCCATTTCTCTCATAGATTCCAGAAGATGTTCTTGTACAGTCACCATCTAAATAAGGGAGAAACACTGAAGACTGTAAATGGGAACTCTGTTTTACTAAGTAATACAGTATTTATATCTGGGCCTAATCACAACTGCACCCCTATGGTCCTCTTTGGTTCCCTAGCACTGAAAACAGTGAGATCAGAAATGAGATCCATGGACCTAGACCATCTTGTAACCATTGAGACCCAAGGGCCAGAAGGTTGACAGAACCCACGGGTTTCCAACGCATATTGTCCAGACTTAACATTGGTGTTTTGATTTAAAAATCTGTTCATCTATTAGGATTTCTACGTTATTTTATTTAATGGCGTTAATATCCCAGTAATAGTTTTACAGTCTCACTTTTTCATTCTTAAGCTATTTAGCTTTCAGTATAAAAAGTATTTGAAATGTATGCTTACCATACTTGTCTCCATTTGGAAATATAAAGTTTACCTTATACACTTCTGAAGCTGTTTTAAAAGATTTAAGAAAAGTCATATAAGTTTAAATATTTTTATGTCATAAGACCTATAACCAATGTGCTTTAAACGCTACCCAAATAGACTCACTTCATGATCATGATCATGATCACAGCATATCATGATTACTTGGCATTTCCATTGTCTAGTGAACGGTCCTGGGGAAATAAATAATTTTGCCTAGATGATCTATTTTTATTTGTTTGTTTATAATAACAGCATTATTAATATATATTAAGGACAAAATTTATCCTTTAAAAGTATGCAATTCAATGTTTTTTAGTATATTTACAGTTTTACAACTATTACCACAATGTAATTTTGGAATATTTTAATCACCCCAAAAAGAAACACTGTACCCATTAGCAGTTACCAATCCCCACAACTACCCCTCGTCTCCCAACTCCAGGCCCCTGGCAACTACTAATCCACTTTGTCTCAATGGATTTGCCTGTTCTGGACATTGCTTACAAATAAAATCATACAATATGTGGTCCTTTGTGACTGGCTTCTTTCACTTAACATAATGTTTTCAAGGTTCATCCATGTTGTATCATGTATCAGTACTGTATTCCTTTCTATAGCCAAATACATTATATAAATATATTATAGATAAATAGCACATTTTGTTTATTCATTCATCAGCTGATAGAAATTTAAGTTGTTTCTAGTTTGAGGCCATGATGAATAATGCTGCTATAAACACTGATGTACAGCCAGGTGTGGTGGCTCATGCCTATAATCCTACCACTTTGGGAATGCCTGTAATCCTACCACTTTGGGGAGGCTGAGGTGGGAGAAATGCTTGAAGTCAGGAGTTCAAGACCAGACTGAGCAAGAGCAAGACAAAAAATAGAAAATTTGGCCAGGTGTAGTGGAATGCACCTGTAGTCTCAGCTACTTGGGAGGCTGAGGCAGGAGGATGACTTGAACCTAGGAGTCTGTGGTTGCTGTGAACTATGATGATGCCACTGCATTCTAGCCAGGGTGACAGAGTGATACCCTGTCTCAAAAAGAAAAAAGTTTGAAAATAGAATCTGTAACTAAAATTCAGATCTTATCATTATGGAAGTGGTATGACAGGTAGAGAGCAATCTTGCCAGAACTCTGATCTTGTTTAGGGGTTAAATATAGACACTAACACTAAATCTGAAATATATATATATATATATATATATATATATATATATATATATATAAATTTAGATATGTTTGTTTGTTCATTTTTTTCTATAATTTCTAAGATTTGGTTGTGGAAAAAAAGAGTGAGGTATGGAGGTACAGAGAAACTGCCATGTATGCTCATGTATTAATTATATACATACGTGCAAGATTTGAAGTTCCAAGGGGGCAGAGACACAGAGTGCTTTCTGATTGATTAATGATATTAATACTAACCAGAGTACAAAATTTATTTCTAGTTCCCCACAGGCACCATGTTGTTGTACTCTCTCCCTGGAACACCCTTCTCTTCTTTGCCTGGTTAACCGCTATGCATCCTTAGAAATTGGCAAAATAGAGTGTAGTAGTTAAGGGTTCTTGCTCTGCCATCAGACTACCTAAGTTTGAATCCAGACCCCATCATTTTCTTTGGCCTTGGACAAATTACTTAATTATCTGTGCTTTAGTTTCCTCATCCTTAGATGAGGTAAATTAAGTAAATGAGCTAATCTATGTAAAATATTTAGGCCAGTGTCTAAACTCTGTAAATATTAGCTATTGTTTTCTTGTAGCTTCAGCTCAGGTATTTGTTCTTCAGCAAAGCCTTTCTTCTTATTTTTCTTTACCCCCAGACTCCTTCAGTGGCTCCCACAGCACTCTGCACCTATTCCTAATATAGTAATTAGGGCTCCATTATAATCAAACGATGCTTTTGTATGGTGATATCCTATCACACCCTGCTCTTCCAGGATGAGGATGGCGGATTAGTCAAATCTCTTTTCTTATCCTACTACGATCCAACTCAGTGTTTAGTGCTATTAGAAACTGAATGACTAGTGAATGAAGGGTACTTGAGAAACAATCGCTAAATGTCTATTAAGCAGGGCGCTGAAAGTAATCATACAAGAAACTGAACTGTTTTCAAATTGCCTTTATAAAGTTCTACATTCGAAACTTCGGAATGTTAGAGCTAGAGAGAATCTAGCACCATAGCGGAAAATGAAGTCCTGAGAGGGTGGCACGTGTCTAAGGTGTCACAACAGCGAATTAACGATAGAATCAGAGCTAGAATCCAGGTCTCCTGATTCCTAGAACAGGGGCTTTCCGAGACCCCACCCAACCTCCCAGTGTAGACAGTCAGGAATTATGTCACACCCATACAGGAGTAACTAGGGGCCAAGTTCTGACCCAAAGCGAGATCTACTTAAAGATGCCCTTCCCCGCCGGCGTCGCTGGGAGGACAGTGACTCACTTGACCGAGAGTTGTTAGACAGAACTTCTTGACTCTGCGATTCCTCCTGAGCCGCCAGCTCTGCGGCCTGGAGAGAACCAGGCGCTAGTACAGCGCCAAGCGCGACTCGGTTGCTGGGGAGACCAGGCACCTCTCACCCGGAAGCGAACATACGAGGGCCGAGGCTGAGCCAATCAGAGGGCGCCGGGGCTGTGCAGCTGCAGCTGGGCCACCGCGGAGCCGCTCGAAGTGAGGTCGGTGAGGGTGGCTGAGCCCAGTCGGGACCTCTGACCCTTGGGCATCGACTCCCGACATCCGCCCCGGGAACCGACGCTGCAAGCCAGGTATGGCCTCCACTTCCGCAGACAAGTGATGTGTGTCTGTGTTGCATGGTCTGCGCGTAGACCTGGTTGTCAGTGTGCGGACCGTCTGCCGCCTCCCTGCTCCGGGAGTGGTCGGGATCTGAGGAGCATCACGGCCCAGGGTGTCCCAGACTGTCTGCCTGAGACCGGTGAATCTGGACCAGCAGGATCCCAGGCCCTGGGACGGGGTCAGGCAGAGCTCTGCAGCTGAGGTTGTCCAAGCTCAGGCTGGAGGCGGGGAAGCGGAATTCGGGCTCGAAGCTGCGTCAGGGGTTGGATTGAGGGGGCTCAGGCTCCGTTTCCTGTCTCTGTCTCCATCTTGAACTGAGCAGCTATTTGGGGAGAGGTCTGGATATCTGGATAGAGCTGGCTATATTATGGTCAGTCAGAGATTTGCCAGGGAGGAGAGTGGTGTGTAGTCAGTTTTTAGTGCCTTGGGTATGAAACAAAGGATACTTTTAGAGCCATACTTAGTTTCCTACTATACACGGTGAAGAAAGATAGTTGGAATCTTCCCAGGCGAGGTGGACTAGAATAATGGAATCTAACCATATATGTTATACAACGTAATTCCTGTTCCTGGAAAATGTGTGGGGAGAATGATATTGGATACCACTGCGGCCAGCTGTCTTCGTTTAAAATGTTGAGTGCATGTCTCAGACCAAGTTGCAAAGTTAACATTTTTGGGTTAGTGTGAGACAAGTTGTTTTAAATCAGAGTACAGCATCTTCTTGATTTTTATCTAAAGTTTCTCAGTACACAAAAAATTTACCTGAGTTAGATGGTTTTTGAGATGACGTTCTGATGTTTGATTTGTATATCCTTCCCCTTTTTTAGAAAAATTAGAAATAATATGTAATTATTGATGCACAACCTTACAGAATTCAGTTTTTCACATTGTTTTGGTCACCTGTTAAGCTTTTAATGACCCCACACTTTTGTGAGTACAGCTGACCCTGGAGCAACATGGGTCTAAACTGCTAGGATCCACCTATAGACAGATTTGTTTCAACAAACTCGGATCAAAAATACTGTACAAAAATGCAATATTTGTGGGATGTGAAACCCACATACAGAGGGCCAAGTTTTTCTATATGCTGGTTCCTGCAGGGGCAACTGCGAACTCGAGTATGTGCCGATTTTGGTATATGTGGGGGAGGGAGGTTCTGGAACTAATCTCCTGTGTGTACCCAGGTATGACTGTATTTCCTGGCTCATACTCTCGATGTGTTCAAGTGTCTTCTTATATGTGATCTCAGAGAGATATTACCCGACTACTCAATCTATAATAAAAGCCTTGGTTTGTTTGTTTTTCATGATAGCACTTAACTGATAATATATATTTATTTGTTTATTGTCTGTCTTACCTGCTAGAAGATAAGCTTCATGAGGCAGAAATTTTGTCTTCTTTGCTGTTATATACCCAGGATCTAGCATATAATAAGCACTCAATAAATATTTGTGAAATGAATAGATGAATGACACTCCATTCTCACATAAGTCTTTTATTCAACCCTCAGCCATTCATTCCACAAATACATATTGCATTCCTACTATATGCCAGACACTATGTTAGAGGGACAGTGGTAATCAAAATAGATATAGTCTTTGCCTTCAAAGAGCTTTCTGGGAGCAGGAGTGGGGGAGACAAACATAAAATAAACACTTAATACATATGTTTAATCATGAAAGATTTGAAGAAAGGAATACCAAGGGACCTAGTTTAATTTTGACATATTTGTGAATTTCCAAAATTTTTCTAGCTTTTGATTTCTAATTTCATTCTATTTTGATTGGAAAACATACTTTGTATTATTTATTTCTATCTTTTTAAATTTATTGAAGTTTGGTTTGTAGCATAGCATATGGTCTGTCCTGGAAAATGTTTCATGTGTACTTGAGAAGAATGTATATTTTATCGTTGGGTGGAGTGTTCCATAGACATCTGTTAGGTCTAGTTGGTTTATAGTGTTGTTCAAATCTTCTATTTCCTTGTTGATTCTCTGTCTAGTTGTTCTACCATTACCAAAAGTAGAATATTAAAATCTCCTACTATTACTATTGAATTGTCTATTTCTCCCTTCATTTCTATCAGTTGTTGCTTCGTGTATTCTGGTGCTCTATTATTAGGTGCATATATGTTTGTAATTGTTATATCTTCCTGATGGAATACCCATGTTATCATTATGAAATATCCCTCTTTCTCTCTAGTAACATTTTTTGCTTTAAAGTGTATATTGTCTAACGATAACATAGCCACTCCACCTTTTTGTGGTTGCTGTTTGCATGATTCTTCTTTTCATTCTTTTATTTTCATTTATTGTATCTTTGACTTTAAAGTGTCTCTCCTATAGAGAGCATGTAGTTGGATCATGTTTTTGTTTTGTTTTGTTTTTTGAGACAGAGTCTCACTCTGTTGCATGGGCTAGAGTTCCGTTGCGTCAGCCTAGCTCACGGCAACCTCAAACTCCTGGGCTCAAACAATCCTTCTGCCTCAGCCTCCCAAGTAGCTGGGACTACAGGCATGTGCCGCCATGCCCGGCTAATTTTTTCTATATATTTTTAATTGGCCAATTAATTTCTTTCTATTTTTAGTGGAGATGGATCTCGTTCTTGCTCTGGCTGGTTTTGAACTCCTGACCTTGAGCGATCCTCCCACCTGTGAGCGATCCTCCCACCTCGGCTTCCCAGAGTGCTAGGATTACAGGCATGAGCCAACGTGCCAGCCAGATCATGTTTTTTAATCTAGTATGATAATCTTTGTCTTTTGATTGGATTGCTTAATTCACTCACATTTATTTTTACTATTGATATAGTGGGAATTACATCTATCATTCCATTTTATTTATTGATTGATTGATTGATTGATTGATTGATTGATTGAGACAGAGTCTCACTTTGTTGCCCAGGCTAGAGTGAGTGCCGTGGCGTCAGCCTAGCTCACAGCAACCTCAAACTCTTGGGCTCAAGCGATCCTGCTGCCTCAGCCTCCCGAGTAGCTGGGACTACAGGCATGCGCCACCCTGCCCGGCTAATTTTTTTGCATATATATTAGTTGGCCAATTAATTTGTTTCTATTTATAGTAGAGACGGGGTCTCGCTCTTGCTCAGGTTGGTTTCGAACTCCTGAACTCAAAGGATCCGCCCGCCTCGGCCTCCCAGAGAGCTAGGATTACAGGCGTGAGCCACCGCGCCCCAGCCCCATTTTATTTTTTGATGTTTAAATATTTTATGTCTATTTGTTCTTCTGTTCCTACTTTACTGATTTATTTTGCACTTAGTCATTAAGTGAATATTTTCTAATGTAGTATTTTAGTGATTGCTCTGAGGTTTATCATGTACATCTTTTTTTTATTTTTATTTTTTTATTTTTTTTTGAGACAGAGTCTCACTCTGTTGCCTGGGCTAGAGTGCCGTGGCATCAGCCTAGCTCACAGCAACCTCAGACTCCTGGGCTCAAGCAATCCTTCTGCTTCAGCCTCCCAAGTAGCTGGGACTATAGTCATGGGCCACCGTGCCCAGCTAATGTTTTCTATATATTTTTAGTTGGCCAATTAATTTCTTTCTATTTTTAGTAGAGAATGGGTCTCGCTCTTGCTCTGGCTGGTTTTGTACTCCTGACCTTGAGCGATCCTCCCACCTCAGCCTCCCAGAGTGCTAGGACTACAGGCGTGAGCCACCTTGCCTGGCAATATATATATTATTACCTTCTGCCTTTCATTGTTTTTGCTGAGAAATAAATTGTTAATTTTATTGGGGTTCCCCTTGTGTTGTTTTTCTCTTACAGTTTTCAAGATTTTCTCTGTGTCTTTTGACCTACAGCATTTTTTACTACCATATCCGTATATCTATTTGTGTATCTCTTTGTGTTTGTCCTAGTTGGAGGCCACTGAACTTTTTTTTTTTTTTTTTTTTTTTGGTTCTTTCTGTCTCTCCTTTTCTTCTGATATTCCCATTGTATATAATTGGTGACCTTGATGGTATTTCACATTTCTCTGAGTCTCTGTTCATTTCTCTACATTTATTGTTCTCTCTGTTTGCAGTTTATATAAGCAGCGTCAATATAACTTCATCAATCCTTTCTTTTGCCAGTTCATACCTACTGTTGAGCTCCTCTAGTGAATTTTTAATTTCAGTCCAGAAATTATTATTTCTGATAATTCAACTCCAGAATTACCATTTGTTTCGTTTTTTATAATTTTTTATCTCTTTATTGTTCTCAATTTGATATGGCATTGTCATTATACTTTCCTTCTTTAATCATGTTTTCCTGAATTTCTATGAACATATTTATAATGACTATTTTGAAGTCTTTTTCTGTTAAAGTCTTTTTCTGACATCTAGTCTAACTCACAGGCAGTTTGTGTTGCCTGCTTTTTTTTTACAGTGTATGGATCATACTTAAGTTTCTTTGCATGCCTTGTAACTTTTTATTGAAAACTGGACATTTTAGATACTATATTGTAGCCCCTTGTTAGCAAAAGCTTGGCACTTGGCTGCATCAGAAGAATGAGGCTAAGTGGTTTGAGGATGTGAAGTAAAATAAAAATCTTAAGGCCCACCCCCCACTGGCTGACTGAATGGACCCCCTTTTGTCTGAGGAGATATCCCTTCCAGGAGGATGGAGGTCACACATGCCTCATCATGTCCCCTCCCTTGTTGGAGACATCCTTTGTAACCCATTAACCGGCTTAAGGCTATGCAAGACAAACCTGCAGGTCCTCAATTTATACAACAAATATATGGGGGGGGGGGACTT